ACTTTCTCAAGTACAACCCATCTCTACAACAATATTTAGGGTTGCCTGGCTGGCTCAGTCGATTAAGCATCTGACTCTTGATTTCAGCTCAGGTCTTCATCTCAGGTTTGTGAGTTCAAGCCCCAGGAAGTACCTCTCCTCACTGAGTTTACATTTTAGAAGTAGAGGAACAACATGGATATATTAGCTAGTGATGCATGCTTCAAGAAAACATAGAGCCCTCGTATAAAGCACTTAAAATGGTACCTGGCATTCCAATAGCCAAAAGGTAGAAACCACCCAAACGTCCATTAGCTGATGAATGGATAAACAAAATGTGGTCTATCCACACCACGGAGCATGAGTCAAGCATTAAAAAAAAAAAAATGAAGTACTGACGCATGCTGGGCCATGGATGAACCTTGAGGACCTTACGCTAAGTGAAAGAAAGCAAATACCAAAGGGCATTTATTGTATAATTCCATTTGCAGGAAATATCCAGAATAGGCCAATCCATATTGAAAGAAAGCAGATTAACATTTGCCGGGTATGGGGGGTGGTTTGCTGGGTGCAAGTGTATGGGGTTTGGTAATGGGTATGTGTTTCCTTTTGGGATGATGAAATTGTTCTGGAACTAGATAGTGGTGGTCATTGCACAAGACTGTAAATGTACTGAATGTCACTAATGGTAAATTTCATGTTATGGGTATTTTGCCACATTAAAAAGAAATAGTGCTTGGCATAATATAAGCATTCAATAAATTCAAATAGAAAATAACCTAGGGGTGGGCTGGGTGGCTCCATGGATTAAGCATCTACCTTTGGCTCAGGTCATGATCTCAGGGCTGGGATGGAGTCCTACGTCAGGCTCCCTGATCAGAGAGGAGTCTGCTTCTTCCTCTGCCCCTCTCCCTGCTTGTGCTCTCTGTCTCTCAAATAAATACATAAAATCTTTTAAAAAATTACCTGGGTAAAATAAATTATTAAATAAATTTTTAATCACTGGAATGCTACGCAGGCTTTGAAGACCGTGAACATGGTCTGTAAGTACAAACATGGAAAGACGTCCAAATCTACAGTGAGAAAGAAAAAGAGCTGTGGAGGAGTCTACATGGTACAATTTATGTTAAAATACACATGCGCACACATGTGTCATATGCCTGGAGAAAAGTGGACTGGAAGCAGACGCACGGGAAAAATGAGGATAATGATTTCCTTCGGGGTGAATAGGTTGGGGGGGCAGGGATGGTTTTGTTTCCATACTTTATACCCTTGCGTATCGATTGACGGCTTGCGTGTGTACGTACCACACGTAATATGCTGGAATTTTAGATGATGAGCTCAGGCTGAAGAGGGCACAATGGCCATCCAAAGATCCCAACCTGCTCAGAGGTGGCATTTCCAGGAACACGGAATCCAGGACAAGGGTGGTTAATTACCCATCGTGAGAATTAAAATGTCTTGGCTTCATAACTCATTATGAAAAATAAAACTGGGCTTGCCACGGAGAGTAAAAATCCTTCTGCATCTGAGAGTGGTTTTTGCTGCTGGTCAGAGACGTGGCGAATTCTTCCACTTCTCCAAGGGCCGGGCACACCGCAGGAGCTCGGCAAATGTCTGGGCACCGTTCCTCAGGTCCCACATACAGGTATGTTCTCAGGCTTTGGGGCCACCTTTCTCCACGCTGAAGCACGTCTTTAAGAATGAAGTTAATGCAGGAATGTAAGATACCATTAAGAAAAGCCGTTTACAAGTCTGAACTCTTAAAAAAAAATCATTTTATTGATCCTTTACCATACAAAATTTATTCAAATTACACCCATTTGAAGTGATAAGATCACAGCTAGAGAACAGGTTACCCTGTAACAAATCTATTTACAAAATCCATCATAAAAGCTTTTTTTCTTTTTTTTTTTACATTATATTACATATTTTCTTTTTTTTTTTTTAAACTAGCATACAACACAAAGCTAAACCGATTAGTAGTTTGCCTACTCCCAATTTTGGGAGAAATACTTCCTCTTGACAAAAATCACGTACCCCGTAGGAAAAGAAATTCCCACAATCTGACAATTGCCACTCGACTCACTCTGCAAGCCATGTTCCTTCAAATCCCTCCTCTCACACGCAGGTTGCCATGCACGCATCTGAGTTCTTATTTTCTTTTTTTCCTGAAAGCTAAAGCTTTAAATACTGCAGTTTTATTTACAGATCTACACTTAAACAACAAAAACGGAAACGAGAACCACAACAACAACAACAACAATAACAACAAAAAAACCCAGAAACAAAATAGAACAACTCTTAAAAAATTACAAACCCGCTAGAAAATATTCTGGCAGTGTTTACAAATTAATTGCTGTTTTTTTCTCTTTTTTTGTACAAAATCGCTAGATAATGAAAGTGTGAGGAGACTACATTTCAACTTAAATAAAATGATCGCTATGCACAGATCTGTACATGTGAACACACACCTAATACTGTTTGACAGCTCATGTGTTGCCCTTTGTACACTTTTTCTTTTGTAAGGCTCACGCAGTCATAATTCGCACACGTGTAACTTTTAGCCATTTCATGTGTGAGCGTTAATAGCAGCAACTCAATGGTACCAGAAAAACCTGCATACTTAGTACTCAAAGTAACACAAATACTGTAGCACTAACCCACTTTGGGTGCCAGATACTATGTCAGAAAGGAAAAATGGGCGATGCGAACAGAACACAGCATGGACGGCTAATTCACGGACACCAAGCTCAGCCCACTAACTGGAAAAATCTTATGCATGAAGGAACTCTTAAGACTTATTAGTATTCCTTTCATCTTCAAAACAATAAATACGGCATTATTACATTACGGAAAGGCGTAACGAGAAAGTCAACAAAACACACAACAACCTAGCCAGGTGAGAGCTCAGTCTTTAGACTTTGGAAACAAGTCAGCTTCGTGCAGCTGGCAAAGAGAATCGTTACAGAGCTGGAAGCAGAGGCAGCTAACCAGATGAGATAAATATGGGAAATGGGGAAAAGCTTGGCATAAATGGTTTCCCATACAGGAAAAAACCCCACAGTGCATTTCCAGTAGGCACTTGACACAAAGCTCCCCCTCCCTCCCCCACCCCAAAGCTTCATCACAGACCACACTGCTGTTTGTACCAAAGCCAGTGTGTGTGAGGGAGGAGGCTGGGGACGGAGGCCGAAGAAGAAAAAGGAGGATAATGTGCACCTTTGTTTTTCTTCCCAAACATACACCCACGCATACCCACACAAATAGTTTAAAGTGCTGGTGTCATTCGTTTTGACCCCACCACCACTTTGCATATTGTGGAAATCTACCTTGAGTAAACTGGCTGGGGCTTTCGTGGTTTTTTTGTTTGTTTTGTTTTTGTTTCCTTTTGTGTTTTTCCTAAGGGATTATTTTCGATTCCGTTAAACGCACGAATTGAGTGCTACGGTGTCAGGCACATAGCATTTCAATTTAACTGTTTTCGTTTTGAGGTTTTTTTGTTTTGTTTTGTTTTGTTTCACCTGACTCCCTCGTTTCCGTTGTCTTCAGGATCCAAGCAATGGACCTGAGGTTCCATGCCATGTGCCCAGTGGGAGAAAGGTGCCTCCCCAGGGCCGATGGGAAAGCCATTCTTGGACCTAACTGGTAGGATTTGCAGCTGACACGAAGCCTCCAACTGGGGGACACCGTTCCTGAAGAGTAAAGTGGGAGACGCCCTGGCTTCTATCGCTTCTCCTTCCGCGTAATGACTTCCCTTGGTCCAACTGACTCCTTCGTAGAGGAAGGGGAATGGGTTCTGGGCCAGGACGATCGCAGCCCCCGATGCAGTGGGAGTGCCCTGTTCTCACCAGCTTTTAAGTAAATGCCACTGACACAGTGGGGATATCTTTGTCCCCAGAGGCCTCTCCTTCTGACCCCATCCTGAGAAGTGGTCTCCCTGAGTGCAGAGTAAGAGAGCCCTTGCCCCAGTCACAAGGCCGGGAAGCCCAAGGACGGAGGGATCCACACCTGCTGCTCCTTGGGACTGCTATGTCATCTGACCTGGTTCTCCTCTCAAATGGGCCACCCGTGTCCGTGAGCGAGCCCCAGGACCGGCTGGCTCCAAGCTCCCATCCTGGGAAAGGAAGCAAGGTGGGGTGACACTTCTTGCAGAGGCTGTTAAACCTTAGATCACACACGTTTAGATGCTCTGATCAGTAGAGGTCCTCTACGTCTCTGCTTAAATAATGTGAATTAGCAAAAACCGTTTCAAAGTAAACAATTAAATTGAAATGGTGCTGGGTGCCACAGGAATGCTTAAATGGCAGCTAAAAGAAAAAAATTAAAAAAGAATAAAAATAAAAAGGCAAAAACAATCCACAGAAAACTCCTAAGTAAGCATTTGCTACAAATCAACTTTAAACTAACAAATACGTTGGGGGCAGGGGAATGGGAGTGGTTACGGAGACAGGAAAATCCACAACAGCTTCCGAGTGGCAGAATTCTACCGTTCTTCTGTATCTGCAACAAATATCGGAAAACAGGTTCTTCGTCCGAAAGGCTGTGCAGGTTCTCTTGACCTCCTACAGGACACAAGGTCCATAGCTTACACTGAATTATGACAGTCATTTAAATATTCCTAAGAAGAGCTGAAGAAATCCATTTCATACTTTGCATGACTTCAAGTTTACAGTTCCTGCCATTCCGTTCCATATTAGCAGACCCCAAAGACATGCAATCCGCGGAGAAGGCACGGCTTGAAATGCTATTAAGGAAGATTGCTGTTCTCGAGTGGGCCAGGTGGCCAGACCCCATTCAACAGCGCATCCGTCAGGCACAGCAAGCCAATCCGGGAGGGAGGGAAGAAAAATACGGGTGAGAGACACCTGATTGCACATTTTCTCAATTGCTGACTCATCCAGGAGATTTTTGGAGCCTGGAGCAAAGCAGGGCTTTCCCAAGGGAGCCTGCGACTGTGCGTTTAGACAAAAAAACAAAATCAAAAACAACACCCCCCCAAAAAAAAGGCAACCCCCCCCCCCGCTTTTAAATTCATTAAAATGTCAGCTTTGTTCAGAAGTTTGTAGTTTACTTCATGATACTATCTCGGAGGAAGAAGGTAGGAAGGGACAACACTGCATGACAGATGTTCTGGTTCCATAATAAAAAAATATTGGTTTATAAGGGGAGGTCACACAAAGCATAATCAACTACACATGAAGTCTTCCACAAGCGGGAGCTTCTCCAAATCATACGCATCAAAGAGATCGCTAATGCCTTCTTCCTCCCCGAGGCTTAGGAGATAGTCTTCTTGGAGCAGAGGAGGCAGGAGGTTAACAAATGGTCCTTCCAGGTTGGAAGGAATTTGGTCCTCAGTCTGCTGTAAGAGGTTGGCTGGGGAGGCCAAAGGAGAAAGGTTTGCCATAGAAATCGAACAATCGCTATGTCCTGAGTTGGTTGAAGCCAAGTCTGAAGGGAAAAAAGAAAAAAAAAATTGGAGGAAACCAAAAAATAAGTTAGGAGACAAATCACACCAACTTGTTGGAAGACTATGCACGGGGCTGTTATGAAAGCCCGGACCTTCTGGAAGGACAATCAGATGCCACTGTGGTCCAGCCCATCTCGTGCACAGTGACTGACAGCCCTTCTCTGTTCTGGTCTAACTCACTCAACTTTTGGGATGCCTACGGTTAGCAAACAAGAATACAAATTGTTTCAAAGATTAGAGGCTAACAAGTTCAAACACTTCTCTCGGCTATCAGCTGGTCAATATTTAAAGGAAAACAAAACAAAACATACATGCTGAAAAGCTGGCTTCGTCGTAGGGATTCAATGGATTTTCACTTAGTCTTTTTTGAACAACTAACTTTTTTAAAGATACTTCTTAAAAATGCACGTAATAAGACATATCCACTTTGAATGTCTGTGGCGAAAAAAGGTGATCTTTCGTTTTACCATCTGAGCTGCCATGGCAATTACAGTGCTCAGTGTTACAAATCAGACCCGAGTCACTTAAATCGCTCCAATTCGTGCGGCTATATTGGGAGACAGTAACGGGAAAGGCTGAAGACATATCCCCAGTCTGAAAGTGGAAAAAGGGGGAGAACTTAAGATACTCCCGGGGTCTTCTTCCCGTAGCTTGTCCCCATCACCCCAGGGGGTGGGAATGAGGAGGGGAGCGGAAATCAAGTTCAACTTCTTTAACAAAAGGCTCTTGGCTCCAAACTCGTTCCCTTTTGCTAACATGATCTCAGAGGCATCAGGCAAAGGTGTGTGGCCAAGTGTAGCTGATGATTCATTCAGAGAGCTCACAGCTTTACTCGGCACCCCAGCGGGCTTTCCAAAACACTGTAAGGGAAGCGATTTCTGCCCATCGCGAAAGCCTGAGGGACTCCGTCTGTGGGTGGAGGAGTCATTGGCTCAAGACCATGATTTGATTCTGTAACTAGTCAGACTGCCTTTGAAAAGAAAAAAAAAGTTACCTTAATAGCACTAAATAGCAGAAGTTTTTGGTTCTTGCCTAGGCATGTGGTTCTGGCACCGGATCCTTCCGGTCACCTTCGTTTTTAATATAGTTTCCGAATGACAAACGTGGAATTTTTACCTTTGGAAGGGGGTTTCGGGATATTCCCATTGTGGTCTTGGTTGTTTGTTTTCATTGGACTGTGTGTTTCTGTCTCTTCTGGACACAAATAAACCTCAATGGGCCCTTGGGTACTTGCCAAATGTATTTGTAGGCTCTATCGACAGAACAAGTGAGAAAAGTTCAAACTGAGACATGAGAGCTATAGTAATTTTCATCCAGAAATGGGAAATGAGGGTAATTTTCATTGTTCATTTTGCTTCTTTCCTGGTAGCCTCTTCCCCACTCTCCCCCCATCAAGTGATGACTGTCACCCTCTAGAGGAGGGCCGGCAAACTGCAGCCCGAGGGCCGAATCCAGTCCATCAACTGGCTTTGTAAATAAAGTTTTATTGGCAGAGAATCATGCCCTTTCCCACTGTTTACGGATTGCCTCTGGCTGTTTTGTTTTTCTTCTCTCGGGCTCCAATGGCAAAGTTGTGCAGTTGAGTAGAACCAACAGAGACTTATGGCTCACAAAGCCAAAAATATTTACTCTCTGGCCCTTTAAAGATAAAGTTTGGGGACCCCTGCCCAAGAGGAGGTGAACTGTGTTCTTTAAATATATTCCTCCTATGCAGACTATGAAAAGGTCCTTCAAGTGTTTCAAAGACAGTATCTCCATATCGCTACCCCTTTATGGCAGGGCATTTTTATGTGAACTTTAATAACCACTGGATGAAGAGTATTAAGTGCTAGGAGCAGTGTTTAATAAGAGAATGCAGCACACTAACAACTAAAATTCTTCTTCATCTGGGTCATAGTTCTATTATTATCATTTAGGTGAGAACTCTACCCTAGATGGGAGCTTGCGACTCTCACTCTCTTTTTATTTTCTATGCATTTTCTTTTTGCTACATTTCTTTATCTTATAGTTAGGGTCCAGGCGTATATTAGCAAAGATTATCAGAGACTAATCACAAAAATATGCTCCCTACTTTCTTATAGTATTCTTGTCTACCAATTCAGCCAAAGTCATATGTGATTTCTTAAAAGTAAACATGTTTTAAAAGATAAATTCTTAAAATGTGCTACAAAAAGTTAGGGAGATACTTTTTTTTTTTTTTTTTAATTAAAGTTAGGGAGATACATTAAAACATTTACGTCTCTATTCCTGGTGGGGAACAAATCCAAGGCAATCAACATAAAATTCCCCAATGGTTGAAATCAGTCAGAACCTCCAGATACCAAATGTTGAGAAAGAAAAAGTACTAGAGGGACAGGGCACCATACCCTGCGTTCAAGGCCCCACGATGTTAAAATTAGACTTTTGAGACACTCGATATGTACTGAACTGTTGAAATGTTTTTGAAGTTCTAGTTAGGTAAAAGGGATGGGAAAGAACTATTGAGTGTCAGGAGAATGCATACTTTGACCACGCGTCAATGATTCTTTAACTTCGGGCACTCCAAAAAGATCTCTGCAGATGAACAAAGATGTTATCTCCTTACCTCTATTGGGTCAGGCACTTCAAGTCTTGTTTCTGGAGGGGCTTTGACAACTATAACAGTTTGGTCTTTAAGGCCACTAATTTTTCGAATATCTTGATATGTAACGTAAGCTAACGTAGTAACTGTTAAGGAATGTAACCATTTAGAAGACTGACAGAACAGATGCATGGAAAAATTTTCAAGTATTTTATGACTTGTAAGAATATACTGGTCTCTCTGTCTCGATCTTTAGACACATGGGATCTCTTGCAAACCTTTTCTGGTTGATACTCAAAACAACAAGACAAATCGATAGCGTTCTCCTACTCATTTCTAAAAAGCCCATGGTGATGTAGAATGTTAAACGTGGAAATAGAATAGTTAAATTATCAGAAGAAAACCCAAACCCAGTTTGGTGGGGATTTCCTAGCACGGACATTCTGTGAACTTTGGTGAAGTGGTTCTATCACTCAAATTGAATGATGGTGGATCCCAAGTTACAGGGGGGGAAAAAAAAAGGTAAGCTCTATTTGCCCATATAATTTTTGGAACTCTGGTAACTACTGTCTGCTGCTTGACCATTAACAAATGTCTGTAGCCATGCACATGAACGCACGAGTAGCCAATAGACACTGTGGTGGAAGAACTCAGAAAACAGGTCAGGAAGACAGCTTGTTTTCTTAAGGGCACTTGGGCTGGTTGTGATTGCATACTGCCTACTGATAAGAAAGTCATCACTTCTGTTAGAAAAAAGTTGTCCTTTGTACGATATCACTATCACTATTTCAGTGTCCACAAGGAGGGAAGGCAGCTTCTAAGTGCTCTGCAACCTGAATTAATTTGAGAAACACTGTTGCAGGAAACGAGAGTGAAAGAGTATTTCACTACCCTTGGTCATGACTTCTGGGTGCTGAACAATTCTTTTAAGTGTCCTGGTGGCCGAACCTAGGAGGATATCATGAAAGACTATGGTACTTACTACATGATAAAGAGTATTCATGCAAGCTTGCTTGGAGAGACGAGTTTTTACTTGGCACTAAAGGAGCTCACATAGCTCTCTTGTAAGAGTCACATAACTCTCTTCTATAAGGAACACAGAGTGACATAAATAATATACAATGTCTTTAGCCTGTTGTGTTTTTTATGTTAGCCCACAAAAAAATGCCTAGGATAAAACAGCAAATCACATGACTCAATGAAGGCCTTTCTGCAGGTAATATAATATTAGAAAATAGAGTCTGTGATCTAACACATTTCATACAGAAATAAGGTTTAGACAGTCAGGAGGAAATGCTTCTCTTAGAACAGTGGCTTTTAATTAGAAATTGAAGGAAGCTAGGAACCCTACTGTGCAAAAAAACCCACATTCACCCCAGATCTGTATGTAGTTTTAGGGATATCTATCACAGATTGTCTTCTTTAAGTCTTAATGGTTGAGATGACAGCAAATTCAGTGCTGAGCTTGACAGGACAGCTCAGGCAAGAGTCTGGGTCTTAGGTCACCATGTACCTCGTCAAGGAAGCCAACTGTTGCCTTCATACGAAACTTGACAGTTCTGAGTTTTCACTGAGAACATGGAAAAACTGATAACCAGGTACCTACCCCATAAGTCCACTGTCAAAAAGCTATGTGACAAGTACTTATTAAACTAAAAACTCATCTGCAGTTACTCAACATCCTGCAGGAAGGAAAATTTCAACACATTTGTGAACAAGCTGTACCACATTCGGAACCGAATGGCAAATTGAAGTAAATTGTGCAAACACGTTTTCTAATCTTACAAACTTAAAAGTACTTCCACTGTGGCTCCCTCCTGAATTTGCTTTTTTGGGTTAGCAGCTCCCTGCAAGGAAGCTTTCAGTGTCTGCAACAAAGGCCCCAGAGGAAGCCGATGTTGTCGACGAGGCTGTAAGCTGCACATTCCAGAGAGCTGCCAATCACATGTAACCACCCTGTCTCGTCCTCCATGGAGCTCCCAGCTCAAGGGTGAATGAAACAGCTCGACTAGAGCTATTCTTGTTTTATCCCCCATAAGCCCACTCTGGCTGCCACTGGGGGTTCAAATCACCACACCTCTTCTCCACCTCACTCATCATCGGTGGGCAAGATCAATCCCGTGGTCGACAGAAAATAAGTAATCGCGGTTTCAAAAAACAGCCTCAATTGAACAATAAATGTCCCCCTACCCTCCAAGGGAAAGCCTCTCAGACATAAAAGGTAATGTGGAACCATCAGAAGGGGGGACACAACTTAAGAGGTGGGGTTTCTTTTTTTTTTTTTTTTTTTTTTTTAAAGATTTTATTTAGTTATTTACTTGACAGACAGAGATCACAAGTAGGCAGAGAGGCAGGCAGAGAGAGAGAGAGAGGAGGAAGCAGGCTCCCCAAGGAGCAGAGAGCCCGATGTGGGGCTTGATCCCAGGACCCTGGGATCTTGACCTGAGCCAAAGACAGAGGATCTAACCCACTGAGCCACCCAGGCGCCCCAAGAGGTGGGGTTTCTTAAAATACGGGTTTCATCTTCTATGCCTAACTGGGAATATTGCAAAATCTTCTCGTCAATGCGACGAAGTCATCTTTCTCCCTTTTTGTCGGGAGTGAGATGATGAGCAGCCAGTTTTCCTGTGACGGCCAACAGATTGTCAGCCAGTTGACAAGAACTGGCTTTTAAAACTATTTCTAAGGACCAATGTCTGTAAATGGATGGATAGACTGAGACGTCTCAAGCATCGGGGCTGGGAGGGCGGGTGATTCGGAATTCAGTTTCTGGTGTTGAGCATCAGCATGAACGCACGGTTAGAGGCTACAGAATGATTTTTCTAGGCTCTTCGTTCCTTCAGCTATAGCTCAGACAGATTCAACAAATTCCCATTGCTCCAATATCTGATGAAAAGAAAATAGAATGTGAGAACCCCAACAGTGACAGCGAACGCCACCAGAAATCTGGGGAGACAGAGAGGAAGCTGCTGGTTGTTGTCATTAATATTAATGCTGACACCTTATCTATCTTAGAACAGTGCTGCCCGACGCGCTGCGTGTATCCGTATGTCCCCAACCACACGTGAAGAACATGCGTTAACCAGGGTAAAATTCTACCTGTGCAGAAGACTCAGCCTGTCAACACTGGCTGTGTTCTAGAAGGCACTAACCCCCAAGGAACAGGTGCACAAAGGATATCTTTGGTTCTCTGAGTCTTCGGTTAGCAGTTTGAGGTCCAGGGTGCAGCTTTGGATCAGTTCATCTAATTTCTTCTCTTCCTGGCTGAGCTCGGTCACTTCCTTGGACAGGCCTTGACACTGGGCCAGCATGCCCCCATCTTCAGACAGACTGCAGCCCCTGGGAACCCAAACACAGACTCTTCGTAACTGCTCAGGGGCCAAGGGGGAGAGTGTGCGGGGGAGGGGCAGTGAGAAATGGTCCTTTTTTTTTTTTAATAAAGATTTTATTTATTTATTTGACAAAGAGAGATCACAAGTAGGCAGAGAGGCAGGCAGAGAGAGAGAGAGTGGGGGAAGCAGGCTCCCCGCTGAGCAGAGAGCCCAATGGGGGGCTCGATCCCAGGACCCTGAGCCAAAGGCGGAGGCTTTAACCCACTGAGCCACCCAGGCACCCTGCCCTAGAAATGTCCTTTTGAGTAAGATGTTCCCCCTTGACACAGGAGGACACACTTGTTAGCCAAGTGTTAACATCAGAACATTTATACTTTTGTATTTACTTTTTGTCCACACAGTCCTTCACTTCTCACACTACAGAAATTAAGTGGAGGGCAAAAAAACCCAATAAACCCCCAACACTGTAATTTCCAGGTTTCTTTCCTCCAGGAGGCCTGTTTTTTCAGAAGGCTCAAATTCAAAGGGCAAAAGGAGGAGCCCCTGCCTGCCACATGCCTTCCGGGAGGAAAGAGAAACAACGGGTGGAAAAAAAGGATAAAGAGATATTGAGAGACAGAAAAATGTGAAAGACAAGAGGAGTGGTTCAAATTCAACAGAAAATCATTCGGGAAGCACAAAAGACCTAGGTAGTTCCTGCGGGTCTTCTAGCAACCACGGAAAAGGAGGTTAAGGGAACAGATGTGTGCGCTGTACACGAACAAAGACCACTACCCAATAGGTTTCTCTAAACCACAGGCCAAAATGGGTCACTGAATTGTCAGAAAATTCCCTAAAAGTATAAAAAGTTCCCCATACTCAAGTCACGTTTGAGGGAGTCTTTTCTCCAAGCCAGCCTATAACAGATTTGTTTCTTTCCACAATGCCTTCATTGTTCCTCGTAAAATACCGGCCACACGAGTGCTCCGTCCGCAATTCACAAATGAGACTAACCATACACTGAGTCACACGTGTCGGTGGACAGGGGGCATGTGTTATCATCCCTGCGTTCCAGGAGGGACTGAGGCCTCTAAGTCTTGCCTCTATTTACGCAGAAAGCGAGCTGACCCGCCGTTAGAGCCACGGATGATGATACGTGGCCATGGGACAGCCACACGGCTGTGTTCATACAGAGCCGTGGTTCATTTCCAAACCCCTGTTAGAGACGAGCCGGGGACACGGGCCAGCATCCTTCAGGTGACACGTGTGAGCACACGCGGCCTCCCGGGTGCAGAGGAACAGCACCTTCATGGAGTGGGCAGGGACGCCCCCGCCTGAGGCCAACTCAACGTCTCCGACCGCATCTAGAGGGCAAAGAGCCCTTGGACTTCGGCCGGGGGGCTCAGGGGCAGCGGGGAGGAGCCCACGGAAGCAGTGCGGGCGTGAACGTGGCGCCGGGGCCCGGGGTCGTGGCTCGTACTCACATCCACTGCACGTTGTTCTTCGACTTCTTCTTGATGAGGTGGATGCCTTCTAGCACGTTGGTGATGTCGTAGATTCTCCTCTTTTGCACCTTCAGCACCTCCGCCGCCTTGTTCAAATCCAAGACCCCGTCGGGGGACTGGCCCAGCAGCTGAATGAACTTCTTGGTGAGCAGACCAAGGGATGTGTCATACCGTGTTTTTTTTGGGGGGAGTTTTTGGAGCTAAAAAAAAAAAAAACGCGGGGGGGGGGGGGGGGGGGGGGGAACGGTAAAGAAATGAAGGGTTTCTCCGCAGGTAGGCGAGCCCGGTTTCCCGCTGCAGCCCAAGGATTAGCATCCAAGCCAAGCCACGGCCAGCCTTCTCGGTAAGTTACAGAAAGCTATGAAATGGCTTTATTAGAAAAGGAAGGGACAGTATGAACTCCCGCTGCATGAAAGCGTTGTGCTGTGACGCTCCCAGGAGCTCCGACTGGGCCTCACCCTCCTCCCTGGGTCTAGGGAGGCGTCCCGCACACGGCAGGCCTCAACACTATCTGTTGAACGGATGAAAACGTGCTATGGTCTCCAAGCACCAGCACGTGCAGAGCCCAGCCCACGAGGGCCGGGGCTGCGAATCTCTCCTGCATTTCGTTTTCATGACGGGGGTGGTGGGGGGTACTCAGCCCGACCCCCCGCAACCAGCTCTGCAGGGTCCATGGTCTGTGTGTGTCTGGGACCTGGGCACCAGCATTCATGTCAACGAAGAATATCCAACCAGCCTTTCCATCGACTCGCCCCGTCCCTCCTGCATGTTCGGTCCTCATTCAATACCATATTTAAGCTGTTGGGCAGGTGTTCATTGCACAGGGTTTGGGACGGCCCGATTCGTAAACTCCAGGAAAGGGGAGAACAAAGTCTAATTTAGCATCTCCGTTAAACACCAGAGATATAAAGGGCTATTTCGTTGTTTCCAACCTACTTCTCTCTCTCTCGTCAAAGAAACAATCAGTGGAAAGGAAAACGAGCTGCCATGGTTGGGTTTCGGTCCATTCTGACAGCGCCTTGTGCGGAGCCACAGGACGAGGCGGGCACAGACCTGACTGACCCTGGCACCGTTCTACGCCCAGGGAGCCTGGTCTCCAAAGTGATGTCCATGAAGGGAAGTTAAAATTAAATTTGATTATAGAATGGTGCCAGGGAGCTTGTATTCCGAGCTGAAAAATGACACCGTACACATTTAAAAAGGCCTCCTCCCGAGTCAGTATTCAGGGACCGAAGGGACCCTACAGTGTCTGTGGGGTGTCTGCAGATACTCTGTTATTTTCTGGATGGGAACAGAGAGAGAAGTGCAAAAGGACACAACGTGCCACAATTATCCCCACCTTGGCACCCTCTCAGCCAGCAGCTTTCAAAGGTGGGAAGCCCACACCAAGGAGAGTACGAGACCAAATTGATCCTTACTTTTTGGACTATCTGGACTTCGCAGGGCGGCTCTTCCTTTGCCCTTGGGGGTTTTTAAGCCATCTGCGAGGTACTGATGACCGCTTTCTCCTAGCTCCAGCCTTCGCTTTGCCTGCAACGGGAAAGTGCAATCGTTCATCACCGGTCACGCGGGCGATCACAAGCAGTGGGGCTGCCTGAGACCCAGACCAGTCAAACAGGCTGCTGGCCCCTCTGCTCTGCCTCACCCAGGACCCTGTCATGCCCCCCGGCCAGCTGCTGGCTCCAGGTCTGCGCCGGCGCCGAAACGCTCTTCACCTGCAAGGGATTACCTGTCTAGGCTCAGACGGACCCGTCCACTGGTCCTTTAGGGTTAGGTCACGAGCCACTCTGCTTACCCCTTTCACTGATTCAACACTATGTGCCAGGCGTGCGGTGAGACAGTCAGACCACAGCAGACACCCTGGATCGTAAATTCGTTTTTCCCTTGCGACACTCCGCCGCCGACCTTCACTCATCTCTGATCTGGGTTGACCTCTTTCCTTATGCTCCCCACCAACGCTGTGTTTCTGTGTATTATAACACTTATTGGATAGAAGGGTTATTTTACTTATCTGTTTCTCATTTCCTTTAAGGCAGGGACTGTTTCCCATTTATCTTTGTATACCTAGGGTTTGGCAAGGAGCCTGGGTTTCTGTAGGTATTCAATCACTCTCTCTATATACATATATTTATGTTTAAAGAAAGAGTGATTAAACAGTAACACAGCTAGTCACAGACTGCAAACGGTCATTCGTCAGAATAACAAAAATGCAAATGCTCAATCTTGGGTTTCCACTAGTATTCCTGTCTCCATTTTTGTCATCAAACCAGGCCAATGAGGAGTCTTCATTCAGTTTTTTCTTTTGTTTTAGGGAGGGGCAGAGCAGAGGGAGAGAATCTTAAACAGCCTCCACGCCCGGCATGGAGCCCCCCCATGGGGCTTGATCTCAGACCCTGAGATCATGATCTGAGCTGAAATCAAGAGTCGGACGCTTAAGCGACTGAGCCACCCAGGCACCCCTTCATTCAAGTTTTTCATCTAATTTAATTTTACTTAAAAAATATCCATTTGGTGTCTGTGGACTGGGCACTGGTCTTAGCGAACGGAGGTAAAGCAAGATGGGTAAGTGCGTCTGCCTCCCTAGCTTGCAAAGTCCTAGAGAGGAGACAGATAATTAAGTAACTGTTGTGTACTAACTAACCATACGGTGGGATGGGTGTTTGGACAGGAAGGCCACCGACTAGACACCCGGCATGGCCACGTTCTTCTCATGAGGGGACGCACGATTTCAACATAACCCCTTATGACATGGAAACGGAGGGATAACTTATCAGCTGAGGACAGAGATGCAGCCTCTCCATAGAAAGTTACCCGCGAATCTTGCTCTGTTCTCTCCACCAGTCCCCAACCGCGTGTGGCCTCCCCGCAGCAGCATGTGCTCGAAGTAGGAAATACACGCTGGAGGTAAAAAACTTAGCACAGGAAAGGGTAAAAGATCTCACTAGTCGTTTTTACGCAGATTACATGTTAAAATGATGCCATTTTGGCTTTATGAAATATGATTAAATCAGATAGTATGAAAATTATTATTCTATCTATATATATAATTTTTACCTTGTGGTTTGCCTTTTTTCTGTTGGGCAATGCTGGGCTGAACTTCACTCTAAAGGCCTAGGAATGACATCTGGCAGATTTCTTAACATCATTTTCCCCTCCCAAATATTCGGTCAAATCCTTGTGTGAGCCTGTTGTGATGGTTGGCCCCCAAACATGCCCTCTTCATGAGGCAAAATCTCCCTGATTGTTTTGGGGGAGCAGTCCTCCCCGGTGCTAGCCCAAGTGTGTTGTGCCCCGATGAGACCCCGGCCTGGCCCCCCCAAAATGGCCACGGTGAGCTACATATGACCAAAGCGTGGTAAAAAAACGCCAACCCAGGGTGCCTGGGTGGCTCAGTGGGTTACGCCGCTGCCTTCAGGTCAGGTCATGATCTCAGTGTCCTGGGATCGAGCCCCACATCGGGCTCTCTGCTCAGCGGGGAGCCTGCTTCTTCCTCTCTCTGCCTGCTTGTGATCTCTCTCTGTCAAATAAATAAATAAAATCTTTAAAAAAAAAAAAAAAGGCCAACCCCAGGGATTTTTCTGGAACTCCTGGCAAGGAGTTGTTGTGCCTTCCCCAGAAGGCTGACATCAGCCAGAAGCCATGGAGAATGGAGGGCCCACAGGGGCGAGTGGAGTGGAGAAATGGAGAGAGAGGGTCTGAGTCTGTCCTTCAAAAGTCTGAATCAAGGTCATATGCTAGGGGCCACGATTGGTCTTTGCCTCAGATTTCTCCGTTGCATTAGCCCATAACATCTCCTTTTTGCTTAAAGCTCTTCGAGTTAGGGAAATGAAGTGTGGTGTTGCAAGCGACAGCCTGTGGGATGGGCTGAGTCGAGCTGAGCCCTGGTGCAACGGGGAGCTGGCAAGCCTCATTCCGGAGTGGCAGAGTGGGTGGGTCATTTCTGGGGCCTTCAGGAAATTACCTACAAGAGACCTCATTTGAAGCTTGCCTGAAAGTCGAGAGGGGAACAGCTTTGCTAAGGAGGCCTTTTCTCTCCATAGAAAGCAATCTGAGAGATACAGAGCTGTATTCCCTCCAGGTGAAGGGCCCCGGAAAGAAGCCGATTGGGAAAAGAGCTAGAACTCTTGGGCCGGGAAGTCTCAAAGTCTATATAATCTCTCCTAACACTGGCAAGAAAGAACCACCCACAGGCTAGTCGCCTGGGGGCATATTACTTTTGTCTTCCCATCAAGGCTATTGTTCCAAATTGCTTTGAGGCAAAGGCCTATGGAAGCCGTAAACTGTAGGCTGGGGAAATTCCCGGAGATCTGTTGCTAAGAAACAGAGGTCCAACTTCAAGGACCAGGACTAAGCAGGTTGTGTGCCTTTGGATAGTTGATCCGATCTAAATAGGTAGAAAATCTACAAAATCTTAAAGGCAATTCTACTGCCAGAGAATCCTTAAGTCCAGAAAGCAAAGGTCTAAGATAGCTCAGCCTCTAAGGGAATCAATCACCAAGCCCCTACGTCTACAGCAAGAAATGAGCAGCGCGGGGCACCTGGGTGGCTCAGTGCGTTAAAGCCTCTGCCTTCGGCTCAGGTCATGATCCCAGTGTCCTGGGATCGAGCCCCACATCAGGCTCTCTGCTCCGCGGGGAGCCTGCTTCCTCCTCTCTCTCTCTGCCTGCCTCTCTCTGCCTACTTGTGATCTCTGTCTGTCAAATGAATAAATAAAAAATCTTAAAAAAAAAAAAAAGAAAAAAAAAGAAATGAGCAGCGGAGGGAGGTCAGCCCCAGCAAATCCTCCTGGAGGGTAGAAATTGAGGCGGTCCTATGGGCTGTACCAACAGTCATCGTCCCACCAAGTCTCCCAGTGCCTGGAATTTACTGCCGTGCAGGAGACAGGACGCGCTTTGGGAGGTGATCACTGTGTCAACTCCCTTCTCCCAATGGATGCTTCTGGTAGGGCTATCCCATGAGCCTTCGTCCAGGGTGCAGTGGTAGGGGCTGAACGGATTTGAGAGGGACACACAGTACTTAATACCTGTAGCTCCCAGACCTGGGGACGGACGGGCACAGTAACCGGGCTCTCTCTTGGGAAAGGGCCAAACACTCTGGTCTCTGACGGAGCAGCGTTATGTCAACGCTTACCTTAACAGAGGCAAGCACGCACGCCCGGTTAAAAAACCCAGAAAAACTGGTTGGGAGGTTTTAAACAGTCCAGGTGGTCTCTGCTCACACCAGGGCAGATGGAAATTTCTCTCAGTCAGAGAGAGATGTTTGTTTGCTTAGGGTCACCATTTCCCTGAACTGGGAGTTACTCTGTTTACAAAGAGACCTTCATATCCCAGGGCCCCACCGGTAAAGCGACGCATCTACCTGGTGCTCAGCAGAAGGCCAAGCCATCGGGTCCTCACTGAGAGTAAAGGCTGGACAGGAGGACTGAGCCGCGGGTCACCCCCACTGCTATGTTCCTGAGGCATTATCCGGGGAGGCTTTTATTATAAAGGAACCATGTGCTAATTTGAGAACCTAGGCCCAAACGGAGATGACGTGCTGTTGTAATGAACAGTTGTACTGTTAAATTTCTGAAAATGTATATATAAAAATAATAGGAATAACTGTCAGGCAGCCAAGCGGTGGGCCGTGAGGGGGAACACGCAGTTTCTGCCAGCCTGGCCCCGATTTTTCCCTTCGGGGAAGAAACTTCTCCACAGTCCTTGGTTCAGGTGGTTTCTTTGTCTCTCAGCCTGACAAGCAAAAACCCTGATGACCAACATCTTAGCCTGACCCTTCCCATCAGGGGCTCAAAGGAGAGGACTGCAATCTGGGCCCACCTATCACTGCATTCCAGTCCCTTGGCTAATGCGCCTATGACCAAGGCAGGAGAATTAGCCAGTGCAGGGACTTTGGTTAGAAACGGAGGGTTCTTGTCACTGGGAGTTCGTAGGATGTAAGCCTAGAGCCACGAGGGTAATGAACCAACATGGAAGCAAAGAGATGGAGAGAGACTGAGTCCCAGTACCTTCGAGGGAGGTGCTAGATAGAGCCATGCGCAGAAGCAGGTCTACCCAAGACTTCCATTTGTGCGAACCAACACATTCCCTTTCTTGGCAGAAGAAGACTGAGTTAGATCACCGCCATTTGCAACCCTTTGTCCTTAAAGAGCCAGCCTGTCAGCATTAGCCAGAACACTAGGAACGTCTGAGGACGACACATCGTCACACACCGTTCATTGCTTTCCATCTCATCATGCGATCTCATTTTCACGACATTCCCAGAAGGTAGTTGTTATTATTATGTCCTATCCTACAGGAGAAGGTGGAGGTTTAGTAACTTTTCCGAGATCCCATGGTCAGTAAATACACATACTCCAAGGTTGGTGCCTATGACAGCTTTACGGAATGACTGTGAAAACCTGCCACGTAAGAATATTTGGAAAGTTTCACTAAACTGATGCCACCTTACTCTATGATAAACATAGACTTTTACTTGTGCCATAATTTTTAAGAACTTTCCTTTACACAATAAACACACGAGGAAATTCCCAA